CCCCACAGCAAATAAGGCGTTCCCCATTTCCCCAGTGTCAGCTGCATAAAACAGTGAACAGCCCTGACAAATCTTTTTCTTTTTCATGCGTTTTTTTCCTACTTCCTTAAATCGACTGTCAACAGATTCCTGGAGAATTTCAATTTCATGACATTTGTGGGCAAGCCATTCAAAGCCCAGACGGCGTCTGGAAGAAAAGTATTGATATCCACAGAGATACTAGGAACATTTCCCCACAAAACTCACAATTGGAAATTTCAGAGAGCAGGCAATGGCCTCAGACACAGCTCAAAGACATGGTTACTGGACTGTTCAATACTAAACGAAGACTTTTTCTCTGGAGACCAGTGAAGCCTTCCTGGAGCGCTGCTATGCCGACTTCTCCTCTGTGGCAGCCTTCAAGGTGCAGAAGATAAGAAAAATGAAAAATGACACTGTGGGGAAGCTGAGCACTCTTGTTGTGGAAAAGTCAACATACCCTCTGTAAAGCATTGTTTATTTAGACTCTTTGTCCTTGGGAATGGCGTCTTTTATTCGCTTGAAGATACCTTACAGGGCTTTTCACACCTACTTCTCTAGGTCCTATATATACACACACACAAATAGTTTTATATGAATACCTTTTGGAGCGCCATCATTTGTCACTGCTAAATACTAAAATGCTCCACCTAATACTTTTGAATGACATGTTAATGAACGGTGCAATAGCTGCACTGTGGACCTAGATTGCGTTAAAATATTGGTATTAACTTCAACCCTGTTGTTAGCTTTCAAAAAGGAAAAATTAAAAAGTCCTTGCAATTACCAACATTATATACTTACAGGCACCTTTGTTAGGTACACCTGTTCACCTGCTTATAATGCAAAAGCCAATGAAATCCCAGTGATGGTCTCAAGCCCGGGTAAATGGAGCTGCATCAAGAAGGGCTTCTGGTGTCAAATCACACATGTGGCTCATTAGGAATAATATTTCCATACAGATCGGTCAGAGGCCAGGTTAACAACTACTGTCTGTACACAGTAAAATTCGGAGTGTTAAAATAACACTTAAAGAGTTAAATTTAACACTGGTCCCGAGTCTATTTGGTCCCATTCGGAATTGGTGTTAAATCAACTCTTTCTATAGTGTTAAAATTTTAGAGTAAAATTAACTCTAAATAGAGTAAAAATTTAACACTGAGTAACACCGCAGAGTGTTAAATGAACCTAACACTACTAGTAGTGTCATATTATTTACTCTAACATAGTGATAAATTAACTCTATTTGAGTAAAATTCCACTGATTTTTAACACTGAATTGAGTTATTTCAAGTTAACACTGGGGGTTCAAATAACTCTGATGAGAGTTGATGTTACTCTATACTGTGTTATTCGTACACTTTTTCTTGTGAAAAATTAGCTCTCATAGAGTAAAATTTTAAATTAATTTTACACCAAGTAGTGTTACTAAAACTCTTCCTCTTCCAGCATGAAAACCTGGTTTCTAATAATGCTTTAAAATATAAAACAAGTAAGCAAAAACCACAACTAGATAATACGTTTAACAGCTTTATTTTGATGTCAGGCTCAAAATATTAAAACATCTCATGTAGTGTACATAAAACACTACACACACAAAAACAGTCATAAAACACTTTAAAACAATGAATTTAGTTCGGCATAAAATGACAATATGGAACCACATACAGGGAGGAATCAGAAGTGCCATACTTCATTTGAAGATCAAATGGTTTGAAGTAACACAGCTCTTTTATGTTCAACACCTTCAGCACCATATTGGGGTGCATTCTGACCTTAAATGCATGATAATGGTCATCAAAACACAGGGTTTCCATCAGTTTTCCACAGAGCAATGCAATGTCATCTTTCACAACAATACTTTTGATCTTATAAAACACTGGAATCTCAGACACTACCTCTGTACAGATGATAAAGTCAGGGCGGTACTCTGTACCATGATGTTTTATCCACTTAGCTGAAAAAACACTGGTAGACAACGCAGCTCCAAATTTTAAAGCAATTTCTGGACCTTCTTTCAGCTCTCCAAGTGTCACCATCTTTCCTGGTCCTAAAGCTAATCTTTCGAGGCTAAAAGACTCCCAATACATGGCCATACAACTTTGGTGTTTCTTGGCCAATGTCATTGTAATGTTTTTAAAGCTTTTTAATTGCTTCTTAAAGAAGTTATGTTTGGCTTCGTAACGCATGCACCACATGTGCAGAATTGGGCCAATATTTCGTATACTGCGAGGGTAATGTATCATGAAGTGATGCTTTGGTAGGAGACTGAGTGTAGGAAATAACTGCTTAAAGAGCTGATGATGATCAATAATTAAATGTTTGAGGTAGATGGTCATACCTTCTGACAGCACTGGTGAAAACACAATATTGACAATTTGTAGAAGCAGAAGTAGAAGATGCCAGTAGCTATCACCCACCTGTACCAAATCGCCAAACATCAAAGGTACATTACGCAATAAGCACCAAGATTGAATTGCATTTAGTCCTAAATCATTACTGCCATCAAACAACTTTACCCTTGGTGGGCGATTTCGCTGCTGATTGAAGCCATAGTCAAAGGCATGTATTCTACCAGCAAGTTGTTCAGCACTTAGGAAGTTCTCCTGAATGTACAGCAGCACAAGTTTCACCTCTAACTGAGCAACTCCCTCCAAAATGTCATGCATGATATCTACAGAAAAATTGTTGGCTGTGTTGAAATATTTAAGTGAATTCAAGAGACAAGTGCGTTTCACACCACATACATGAGGTAGCGTAGGATCTCTTTGTACACTTTCACAGTGCTGCTTATGCATATCAAGAGTTCTTAGTGCAACACCAGAATCATCTTCACAGAACACACTTTGAAAACAATCCTTCTCAAGCAGACAAAAACGACAACAATATCGAGCTGCAAATGACTCCACGAACCCAAACAGACTATGCAAGCCAAGATTGTCCCCAGTGACCTGGATTACAGTGCCATGAACCAAGTGTTTAAACATGGGAAGTTTCAGTCCCTCTGTCTCAAGAACTTTCAGATCATTGACAAGTGGCTCAAGGATTGAATTAAAGCCATAACGCTTTGAGTCTTGTGCATGAAAAAGAGCACACAAATGAATATTGACCAACAACGAATTAAAGATTGGAGGAAAATTCCTTAGTGTAAAGTATATTGCACCTAATTTATGTACACCCTTTTTAGAGCCCAGGGGATTTGCAGTTTCAAAGTCATCATAAAACAGTTGAATTTGTAAGGCATCTTTTTCTGCAGAAAATAGGGGACATCTTTTAACATAGGCAGCATCGATTAAGTCTGCATACACACCTTCTCTGGACATATTCCTTGACTTGAACATGTCGACAACATGGTGGTTTTGAAAGATAGTTTTCAGTGTTTCCAAAATAGGAACATATGCAAACCTATCGGTTACAATGACTTGATCAAAAGTCCCTGTGATCTTGTTTCTTCTACTGTCAAATCTTGTGCCAAGCACCATTTCAACAGGTTCAACAGTTGCCCATTTTTGTTTAAAGTGCCTATTTCGTTTAGCTTCTGAATTTAACAGTGTGAATGGGTTTTCAAAGTTTTTGAATGACTGCTCTAATTTCTTTTTACTTGAAGTGTCCTGTGAAGGTAAGCTCTGTAAAGCTGCATCTTTAGCCTGAGTATGAATCTCAAAAAACACTTCCTCCATTGAGGAGACAAAACTATTCACAGTAGATTGGCTTAATCCAGCTGCCCTGAGCTGTGCAACAGTAGAGGCACACATATCCAAAGTGCTCTTATTTGAACTTTTCAACATTTCAGATGTTGTGGGTGTTTCTTCTACATTAGTTGACACCACCTGCCCTGTAGTGCTAACTTCTTTAACTGCCACATCAGGCTGTAAATTAACATCAGTGTCAGCCTGTTGGTCGAAATAGTTAAGGTGTTTGGTATTTAAATGTTTTCTAAAACCTGAAAAAGTGCCAAACACACAGCCACAGTCACGCTGGGCACATTTAAGGCGAAGGTTTCTTCCAGGTAAGTAACCATGGACTAACCGTAAATGCCTAACAAGCATGTTTGAACCAGTAAACTCAGCTTGACAGACAAAACACTTCATGATGGAGAATTAACCTTCAAGCCCCAACGAAGCAACCTTGTCCTTATTTCAGCAACTCTGGGACTTTCTTTGATTTTGCCAACATCTATATTGTACACAGTGGTTTGGATGAACGTGTACATGTTGTGAAGCATGGTGTTGTAAGATGTGCCAAACACAAAATGTGCTTTAAACTTTCATCAAAAGCACCAAGTGAAGAGGTAGACTTGCATGGTATGGCATTCTTGTCAAGAATAATGAAGAACTGGTGGATGTCATGCTTTTTCACCCCAACAGCCAGGAGGTAGGGTTGAGTGCTGGTAGTGATGGCATCAAGGTGCTCTTGGATATTTGTTCCAGTCTGAAAAGACAAATACAGACAGGCAATAAGAATCAAGTGTTTCTTAAACTGGTAATTCATACCATAAAAATAGAAAAGAAACAAACCTCCTTGAAGACCACAAGATGCCTTTCTGCTTGAGAAGCTGACACCTTTCCTGGTCTCTTCCGACCCTGACCAGATGGTGGAATCAAATGTAATAGCAATAGAATCGCTGAGAGGTCACTGTCCCAGCCTGAAAAAATATATTTGTTTTTAATAAAGTTGAATCATCCTCATCAATAACAAATTTCAATGCATCTGCATTGACAAAATGTTTGAGTAGACCCAAAATACAAAAGGACAGCTGTTCTGTGACAAACATTATATATCCTGTGAATGTTCTAATTAAAGAAATAACAGCTCACCAATGTCAGCATTAACTTCAGTGGCATCCTCAGGAGAGTCAGCTGCCAGCAAGAGTTCTTCCAGGTCACTGGTAGAAGGAAGCTTTCTGCCTTGTTGGATAATCTTTCTTTTGAATGTTGTTGGCCACCTCTCCAGCAACCTGCCTGATACATCCTCACCAAACATCAGTATAAAATCCTGTTCGATCTGTAACAGGGATAGAGAACAGAGAATTATATCTGCTATCTGCAAAAAATAAAATGTGTTTACATTGTCAACGTAATGAAAAATAATCAACAAGCCTTTGATATCTTTGAAACGTGGAAACACAGACAGTATGTTGCTTGACAGCAGGGGGTCAAGGACCATGTTGTGTCGATAAACAAATGTCAACTTCATCTTCTTCTTGACTGTGTCTTCATCAGCTGAATGTTTCATCAGAGAGATTGCTTCCTTGCACTCATCCTCACTCAGCACGTTCTCTGTAACAAACTGCAACTCTCGTCTGACAGTTGGTCCTCCACACTGGTCTTCACCCGATGATCCATCTCCTGGTGCTAGACAATATGAAATACAACTTTATCAAAACTAATAATAACATTTGATAACCATTATTAATACAGAACCACAATTTGGAACTGTATTATACGTTTCCACTGAATTATAAGTGTTACCTCCAGATGTTAATCGCCTCTCTTTAGCAGTGCATCTCTGTATGGTTTTAATCCTCCAGGCCAAGTACCCAGTGCCACTCTCGCCATCATAATAATGTTCCTTGGAGAGTGACATATACAGACATTTTGTTTATTAATTTATCAGTAAGTTATGTGACCATGAACAGTTGATAAGGACATACATTTTGGCAGGATTTAAAATTTTGATTTTAGTTGTATCAGTTATTGCTGTTAGCTACTTACATTTTTTGAGTACGGGTAGAGCAGGGCGATATGGCCAAAAATATTTATCACGATATATATTTGAAAATTTGCGATAACGATATAACTGACGATATAATTGATGCGAGACAAAATACAACTCCACAACATTACTAGCGCAAAAAGACAACCTTCCATTTATTTTCACTTAAACAAGAAGCTGGTTTTTATGTACATTAAAGCTTTATAAAAATGTAACAGTGCAAATGCAAATTTCTTGCTGAAAGTTTAACCCAAAGGCATTTCCAGTAGAAATGGGCTGACATATCCTGAGCATAACCATGTATAATATCCACTGAAGTTAAAAAGAGGTGCTTTGCAACATTATACTGCAGTGTGTGCAGTACGCATTTTTCGGACCATAAGGTGCACGGGATTATAAGGCACATTAAGCGAAACAAAGCAGTCAGATAAATCAAACTTTATTAAACTTTCTTCTTGCTTCCTCCACTTCTGTACCATTGATTCATTAATGTTGAATTCTCTGGCAGCTGCTCTATTCCCATGTTGTTGCAGTATATTAATGACTAACCTCGTATTGTGGATGGATTATCTCAGTTGTTCTCCTGACTGAAGTTTGGTCCGTTTACAGCATCCTGCCATGCGATTGCATTTGTCTCTAACCATTAGGAACCTTCACGTTAACTTTTATAAGTGGAAAAGTGTTAGTGTTCGTCCTCCAGCTTCACTGATTATGTTATGCTAACATAGCTGTGTCGCTAGCGGTCAGGTAGCACATCATTATATACCAGCTAGCCCAACTTCAGTAACCCTACAAACGTCACTGCTGTTTAGTTTCCTGTCTTCATTTATGTTGGAAGTGATAGCAGAGCTGTACGTTTGATTTTTTTCAGAAATCTCAGTCAGAACATGCAATATCATGCTTAGGTAACTAGCGAAACTAGCGAGCTAACTTCCGCTAGCTTCCTGCTAACTTCTAACTCCGTTAAATGTAATACATTTTGTTTTCATGGATGCCTGGAAGTTAAACTTCATAGTTACACCTGGTAAAGCAGCAATGCTGATTGTTTTATTGAAGATGAAAGAATTTAGACAGTTTTCAACTCTCAGTGATGCTGCAGTGTTGTTTGACCTGAAGTCAAATATACGGAGTTTAGGACCCAGATTACTCCCAGATTTAAGAGCATCTTAGTCCGACAAATACGACAATAACAACGGCCGCTTGCATGTTCTGCAAAAAAATGTGCTTTGTCGTGTATCTGACGGACAAACACCAAACCAGTTCCACATCACAGAAGTTGCACCATTTTTACAAACCAATTCTGGTTCCTCAACAATCGGCCATGTGCGTATGAAAACAAAGGCACTGCGCATGCGCGTTTTACTCCCATTCTATCGCGATATTTTATTTTCCTATCGTTGCCTAACATTATACCGGTATTACCGTGAACGGTATAATATGGCCCAGCCCTAAGTACGGGTCACTGAGGTAAGGGAAAAAGGTTACAATTCCTCTGGCATACATTTCTTTTACCTGCCGTGGTGGTGATGTACTGCAAGATCAAAAGGAAAAGAACTAGTCAGCTTCGCTGGAATTAATAGAGATTTAAAATAATTTGAAAATGATAGTAAAAATCACAGGGCCAGAAATAAATTACCCATTTTTTTCTGTCATGTCAGCTACCAGTATGTTGACCATTTTTCTTCTGGTTTCATCCACCAGGGACTTGGTCCGATTGTACTCATTTATTATACGTTCTCCACCAGGTTTGCTTGTGAGAATGGATTCCACCAACTGGAAAACACAATAAAAACATTCTACATGTTGATATAACCACTACAGTTCAGAACACTTAAACTACAAACAAAAAAGACACTATTAGAAGAATGTGGAAATCTGTTAACTCTTACTTGCTTAGCTTCTGCATCCAGCTTCTGACGTTTCCTCAAAGGGCTGTCTGAAAGGATGACCGTATCCTGTGAATCTGATGAATGTGGCGATGATAACTGGAACCTGTCATGGTCCTGGGTCGGTGACCCAGCGCTTTTAGTTATCATTTTCTAGTTTATGATGATGATTATTATTGTTTGAGTTCTGTGTGTTATATTTGGTCTGCCTTTGAGTCTGTGTCTCTGTCTATGGTGTCACCCCATCTGTTTGTGAATCTGTCTGTTTAGTTCAATGTCTTGTCTGGTTCCATGTGTCTGAGTTTCCTGTTTTATTGTGAAGGTCCGCGTTGTATGTGAGTGTGATCAGTTTACGTTTCCCCTGTCCCGTCAGCCCAGATTCCTCCCAGCTGTGTTGCCCTCCTGTCTCTCATCCCCTGATTACTGGTGTGTGTATTTAAGCCCTGTGTGTTCTCCTGCCTGTTGCCGGTTCGTCTGTGTAACTCCGTGTCAGTCTGCGTTGCCCTGTGTGCCACGGTGTCCTGTTCCTCGTCTGCGTCTCTCTGCTTCTCATCCCGTTGTCATATGCTCCCAGGTCTGTTATTTTTAGTTCTCCCAGTTTAGGTGTCTTTAGTTATTTGTTATGCCCCACTGTTTGTTTGCCACTACACCTCTGTAAATAAAACCACCGGTATCTCATCCACTGCCTGCATCTTGGGTCCTTCTTCCAACTCCACACGGCTCGCCTCGGCAGCCGTGACAGAACCGCTCAGGAGACACTTCTGCAACAGATGTTTCCAGACCTTAAAAATAGAAGCAAAACAAATTAGTTTACATGGTCCCTCCATAGACTCATTTTATACACTCTTTGATTAAACAATGTAATAATGACACTAAAAAAAAAGACATCCAATGAAACACAAATCACTCAAACAAACCTGTTTCATATTTGATGGTTAGTACCCCGGTTGAGGGATCTGTTACTATATCCTCAAAAACATCCTCATCCAACTCAGTCCCTGAACTATCAAAAACTTTCACTCCTTCTGTTACGGCTGGCGCACCAAACTTTGCAAATGCTGGAAACAAGCACACAAGTTTGTGTAAACAAAAAGACATGACATTTAATGTTTTGTAGCTTAAAATAAAGATCATTTCAAGATACTCTTTCAAAAATGAGTCAGATAAACAAAGGCTAAATTATTAAGCGCCACTAACATGCTTGATAAGTGGTAGATTAAAAGGAGTGACACTCACATTATGCAGTTTTCCCCCCCACTAAATATACATTCATAACTAAGATGCTTCCAAAACACAGATCATTTTCAATTAATCATAAAATGCAGTTTGACGAGACTAAATAACAAAAAGAACTTAAAGCCTCTTGTACACCTTTTTAATACAATGTTGGTTTCTTACCGGCAATCAAAAACTCCTTAAGGCTTGGCTCAGATACTCTAACAAATTTCTGCACACCTCCGAGTTTTGCTTTAAGCAGCATGCTTCCTGTAGACAGTAATTTCTTATAGTCAGTGCTCTTCATTGAACTACAGTAAACAGAAAATGTGAATATTAAAACAGTCCCATAAACAGCCTTGCAATGGGATTTCTTACACTGTATGTTACTTTTATGTCAGTGTAACAAGGTGTCAAGATATAATCCTCAATACAAAACTAAAATAATAACTACTACTTTTTACCATTTGTCTGACCTAACTTAGCACTAGGGAGTCAGTATTTTGTTCATCTTTAGTTTAACATACTGAACAGTCTGGTAACCAAAATGGAAAGCAGCAGGGTAACTTTTGTCAATACCATCAACTCACAATAAATACAAACGCTGTCATCTTAAATTCAAACTACTAAAAAATGCATTAAAAACTGAATCCTGGACATTTTGGATATTTTATCAAGCTTATAACACCTGCTGGTTGTAATCCTGTAACTGTAAAATCGCTGAAGACAGCCGAGTTAAAATAAGACAATAACCTTACTAAAAACGACCTCTATATCTGGTACCTAGGTATCAAAAAAAGAAAAAAAGAAAGATGTAACATTTAGTGTACAATTTTAATTAGTTAATGCTTGAGTTAGGTGATTTAAAATTTAACGATAACTAGCGAATTGCCCGCGCACTGAGGTTAGCCAAAATGCTAGTTAGCTAGCTAATGTTAATATGTAGATCCCAACACATGGAGGGTTTCATTTAATGGAATTTCGAACATGCTAGAACACAACACAATCACCACTACACACTGAAATAAATTTTGATAACAAGCCTTACAGTCCAACACTGATATCAGTCAACTTTTTTAGCTAATTAACAACCTTACATTAGCATACAGATAGTGTCACATTTGCTTCTGGTACAAAATGAAATATATAATAAACATGGACAAAAGGAATGTAACCTTATTTTAACGTGCTACCTGTGCTTAAAATGTCGAATTGTTGGTTTAATAAGTAAATATGAACAACTTACCCTGCAGCTGATGTGAAGAAAATGGTGTCGTGAAAAATCCTCTTGGTTTGAAAACCAGTCTGTGGTGGGAGGAGCTTTCTAGAGTAACGTTGACACTGTCTCTTTTAACTCCAGGAATCATCACCCACACTGGGGGGCGTTTTGCTCCAGCTGTTGTTATAATGACTCTATTAGAGTAAATACACTTTAACACTGCTGATTTAACACTGGGAAATTTACTGTGTAGTTCTTCTTATACATATACATTCTTACATACAGAATTTACAAACACATAAATGTAATGTAGATGTAAAGTGACCATTCATTTCAAGATCAGCTGCTTCACAAAATATATATAATTTGTAAGGATTTGAGTGTAAAAATAATTTCCCATAGCTTTACTTTGGGGGATTATTAACTTTCTTGATAATCACAGTATCCCAAGTGGACTGTGGGTGAAAACCCATGAAGGCACATGGAGAGCAAGCTAACTTCACACAGAAACGCACAAGCCAACAGATTTGTCCCAAGAACACACTGTGAGGAGACGGTGCTAACCACTGCAACACCAATTCAATTCAATTTTATTTATATAGCGCCAAATCACAACAAAAGTCGCCTCAAGGCACTTCATAGATACAGAGAAAAACCCAACAATCATATGACCCCCTATGAGCAAGCACTTTGGCGACAGTGGGAAGGAAAAACTCCCTTTTAACAGGAAGAAACCTCCGGCAGAACCAGGCTCAGGGAGGGGCGGGGCCATCTGCTGCGACCGGTTGTGGTGAGAGAAGGAAGACAGGATGAAAGACATGCTGTGGAAGAGAGACAGAGGTTAATAACAGATATGATCCATGCCACACCACACTGAGGTAAGACATGCTCTGAATCAAGCGTTCAGTCGCTACTCACATAAAAGAGGTGGAGGTCTGAGCATACAGAGCACAAGAAATGTTGTGATGCATTTGTAGTGGCAAAGCTGTTGTTGCAAGATCACATCAGTTACATACTAGGCCACACCTAAAAGTGCTTTTTTACAAGTGTTCACTAGGTGTGGACATGTTGTGGAGTACCTGAAATATTAAACCAAAGATTTTATTTGAACTATAGGATAAAAACTGTTCTGTCTGACCACCCAAAAATCAAACTGGTTTTTAGGTGTTTGGAACAGCGCGCCAGAAGAGGAAAAGTGTAACCAGCTGTCACTGAGAAAGAATTTTTTTTTTTTAAATAAAAAAGTTCAGGCTGATATTCAAGCCTGACTGAGCAGTTTAAAAGTTGAAAAGAAAAGGTTTGGTTGAAAGGAAAGATCCTTTTAAGACACAACCATGGTTTCCTAGTTCACAGACTTGTGATTTACCACCCTTCTATCTTCAGTGCTTCTAATTGTGAGTCTTTGTGAGGTACATATCTTCCTTGACACAATGGCCATGACAAACCAACACATTCTCATTCTTGAGCGATGATTAATGGTGTTTTGTCAAATGAGGCTTTTTGTGCAACATTGGCATTATCAAATATTGTCATGAGCTCTAAGAGTTTGTTTCCACATGCTTTTACTTGCACTTTCACTTGTTGGTTAGGTTTATGCATGAAAGTCTGCTTTGTTAGGTGTAGGATATGATTGTGGTTTGGCCTAAAATATGTACATTCAAAAAAAGTAACTCTACACTGTAAAAAAAAACGTGCTGTTTTTACAGGAAAACCCTGGCAGCTGGGGTTACCAGGGACTTCCTGTAAAAACGCTTTACAGATGCAACTTGTAAATTGATTTACAGTGAATGAATCTCAGATTAAAACTGTTAAATCTACAGGAAAAAGAAGTTAATTTCACACATAGATGTGATATATAAATACACTATTTCCTGTATCTTTTACAAGTAATAAATGCTTTTTGTGGATCCATAAACTGCAAAATTAACAGGGAAATATCGTACAAAGAACTAATTTAAAATGGTAGAACTACGGTGAAACTGTGCATATTAAATGGAGCTGCTCTGTAAATTATACATAAAATCTATGCTGAATATTATATGTTTTAATGTAAAATTTTAACCATAACCCAGCAAATTTCTTACTGCTACGCCTACACCCAAACATGCAAAAATACACATGAGAAAACACAAGAGAGGAAAATATCACTTTTGGGAAATTTATTTTGCAGCCACATTAGCAAAATGACAGCAAATGGATCCATTTTTCCAACTAACACAATATGCAAGGCACACAGCAACTACACAATTCAATCAAAATATAGGCTATAAAAGCTGTGGAACATTCCTGCAAAGCAAGAACCATGTTCATGAAACAAGCATTTGTTAGACCCTCCACCAGAAAAAGTTAAATAACCTGTTAAGACTTTAAAACAAAAAACACATATTGTGCCAAAAATGATCATAATCACCGTGCAACGCAACACGCACCCTGCTGTCACCACAACCATGGCCCTGGTAAGAAAACATCAGCAAAACCATGTGGTGAAACACACCTACACATGTGGTCTAGAAACACTGCAGTAGCAGCATGTTGTTTTTTTCTTTTCTTATGTAAATAAAGAACATTCCTACAAAGAAAGAACATCTTCATGAATTGGCTTCATGCATTCGACCAGTAAAAGGTTCCAGTACACATTGTGGAACAAAATTAACAAAGTAAAACTAACAGTCCACAGAGAGTCAAGATTTAGGCTTAGCGCCACTCGTGGTCGGCGAGATCCTAAATCAGGGTGAGGACTCGAGGGTTCACACTGAGACGACGCTTTGAGTTTTTGTTCTCTACTTTGGTTCCTTTTTCTGGGTTTATGGAGAAGAAACACCTGTAGAATAACAATCATATAAAAGTTTATTAAGCATTTTTATAATTGATCAGTTAAAATACACATACAAAGTAAGTAAAAATTAAGTATATACATATATATACAGTCATGGCCATGACCACGTTCAAGACAAAGTATAACCAAAATGCTGTGGGGAAGTGAACAATGCATGGTCAAAAGTATTGGCACCCTTCACGAGTGTCTTCTGCAGTGATATGTCACACTTTAGCATTGTTAAAATCCAAAGCAAAGGTTATAGGTAGTCAGACGTCAGTTGACGCTTGGTCTAGCCCTGAGTCTCGGCCAGGCTTGGACCCAGATTCAGACTGTTAATGTATTTAAAAAAAACAAACAAACAAAAAACAACAACAACAAAAAACAGAAAAAAAACAACTGAAACCGGCTCCAAAGCCGACCGAGACTCAGAGCCAGACCTGGACTCGAACCACATCAAAGCCAGACTCCAGATCCCAGAGTCTCAGTTATAAGAAATAACAAAGCCATATTTGTTCACCTCTGAAGAAACTCTAAAGTGGAAGCCAGCTCAGATGGATAATGGATGTTGAAATTGTAGTAGCTCCCGAACATGAGGCACAGTGCAGAAATGAAGGAGGATATGTTTGTGCTGACGAGGTGCCGATCAACACTCAGCATGTATCTTCTTGAGGAATAGCAGGACTGTCCTGTGAACAAATTATTTAACAGGTTATTTCAATAAACACGGCAGTCACATGACATTCTATAAAAAGTGCACTTAAAAAAAAAGAGAGAGAGAGAGCTATGAAACAGACTTACCACACATGATAATAGTGGGTGTCAGAGGCACTTGCTCCAGTTGTACCTCATCTGCCAGACATGTATCTTCAACACAGAGAAGCATGGACTCCTTCTCTTCAAAGTAGCTGAGTAGCTGTTTAAGGTAAAAGAGACACATGTTTCTGAGATAAGAATGACTATCCTTCTCTGGCATATCACTGGCTGAACTAGCAGATGCCATGGTTTCATGTGTGTTTTCTGAATATTCTGTACTGTCATTTGGGGGCTGAGGACGAGATTCCTTGTACATGTCATCAATACCATCTGGGGAACAAGCTTTATGCTTCCTACACATGTGAGAAGTAAATGATGACTTTTTTGTAAACATATGCTTACAACCACTTACTGGACATGACACAGACCTGCCCCCTGCAATATGATCATTTAAGTGAGACACTAGCTCTTTCACTG